TGATGCGCAGCCAATCAGCTCACGGGATACTGTACATCCACTCGTGCTCTCATTCGTCGCTCTCGCGCCGGGAACCAATCACGTGCCTTGTCTGAGTGCCCGTGGGTATGTACAAAGCCTCTGAGAGAGTTTCTCTCTTTGTCTGGCATCCTGGGAAACCGTTTCTCTCGCGCATCACGATGAAACAACGCTGCTTTCCGGAATACGGCTGCCGATATGGCGGTATTTTTTAATTGAAATTTTTCGATGAATATTTTTGAAAAATCCGCGATGCACTGAGGCCGCGAAACTTGAACCGTGAAGTGGCGAGGGATTACTGTATTGCGCCCCCTCCCCAAAATACAAAAGTCTATGTTTATACTTTTAGCATTGTGTACAGTCTGGAAGCTAACCACATGCCAAATTTCAAATTTGTTGCATGTCGGGAAGTATGCTAAACATTTCGAACAGACATTCACAAACTTCCCTTTTTTATATATAGATAAATCAGCATTTTGCGACCGCCACCGTGTGGCATATTATTATGTGCCAGGGATTCTTGAGAGGACAACAGTCCAAGTCCATAATTTGCAATAAGTAACGGCAAAGCAGTTATAAGCGACTCGCAGAATTGTGCGCAGTTGCGTATACAGTACACGGCTTCCCTGAAGGCAAACACCTTCAGCGAGCGCGATGCCGATCACACGCGTCGAATAAAAAGCAAGGGACAAGTCCTTACTAATAACTCTTTACTAACAACGCCTTACTAACAACTATCATTATTTCTAGATTTGAAGCTTTCGTGACTGCAAGGATTCATACTCTTAGGTTTTTTCGGTAAAGTCACGTAGGTAAAAGATTAAGTAAAATAATAATAAATGAAAATAAATCAATTAAAATCACGATGCTTCGGAGGCAACACAAGCCTCCTTCATCAGGTGTCAAAAGGCATAGCAAAATAACTGTAGTGGGAGTTATTTGTAATGGGGCATTTAATATATAGGGTAAGAGGAGGGGGGAGGAGCCAAGGGGGATGGGTGCAGGATGGGGGGGGGGTTGCAGTGTGGGTGGAGCCAGGAATGTGAAAATAGTAAAACGTTGTAGGAAGGTGAAAATAGTAAAACGGCGTCTAAATAGTCGTTGGAGGGAGGACGAAGTGTAGGATGGGGGAGGGGGGGGGGGTTGGGATGTGGGTGGAGCCAGGAAGGTGAAGGTGGAACTAAAAGACGGCGTCACGGATGGTGGAGGAGGGACGCAGAGCGGGGGGGAGTGGTGATTTAAGTTTAACATGGTTAATCACATCTTTCCAATGATTGCTCAATTTGAATCCATCTTCTCGGGTAAAGTTATGTCTGTGTTTGTATATCTGTATGGCTTCATGGACAAATCTTTGGTGGTATCCAGCCGGCTTGCAGAGTACCTTCGTATCGAAGAAAACGATATCATGATCACCCACAGCGTTGTAACAATGATTGGCAACGGCTGAAGAATTTGTTCTGCCATATTCTTAGGTTTTTTCGGTAAAGTCACGTAGGTAAAAAATTAAAATAAAAAAAATGTAAAATTAAATAAAAAATTTAATAAAAATCACGACGTTTCGGAGGCAACACAAGCTTCCGTCTTCAGGTGGAACCGTCACAGCCCGACAGTTGTATCAAGTAAATGAGAGATTAGAAGAGATTCCACTCCGTATATATAATGGTTGAGGGGGGAGGGGAAGGGCCAGGAATGGCCCACTTTTTATTATTATGGTAAGGTGCGGCTTGAGACTATGAATAGACTGCATAACAAAAGACTGAGCCTTTATTATGGAGAGGTTCGGGTTGTGACTACACCTAGCCTACATAACAAAAGTGTGAAAAAAGAAAGCTAAACCTGGTAGAAAGCTAAACCTGGTTTTGTTTTACCAGGTTTAGCTCTTGTAATCTCTCATTTACTTGATACAGCTGTCGGGCTGTGACGGTTCCACCTGAAGACGGAAGCTTGTGTTGCCTCCGAAACGTCGTGATTTTTATTTTATTTTATTTTATTTTACATTTATTAATTTTAATTTTTTACCTACGTGACTTTACCGAAAAAACCTAAGAATATGAATCCTTGCAGTCACGAACGTTGCAAATCTAGAATTGTTCTGCCATGTTTCAAATCTGATTTGTGTTCGCGAATTTGGTCTGAAATATGTCGTTTCGTCTCCCCGATTATAGCAGTCCCCGCAGGTACAACTCAATTTGTAAACACCGGGGTACTGTAAGTCCGGAATGACATCCTTTACGGATGGGATCAGATCCCGGATTTTATGTACTGTACTGAATCGGACTTGGATCTTATGTTTGTTTAGAATTTTGGAGATCTGTTTGGTCACGCCTGCTATGTATGGCAATGTGATAGTTTTGATCGGAGTTTCAAGTGGTTGTTTCTGTATGGTGGGAGAAACAGCTTGGCGGATAGTGCGGTCAGAGTATCCGTTCATCTTGAGGGCCAAATGTACATGTTTCAGTTCACTGGCCAGGTGGTGTTGGTCAGAGATGCAATGAGCTCTCTGGTATAGTGTTTTGATGAGAGAATTCTTTTGAGCCGGATGGTGGTGGGAATCAGGTTTCAAGTAGGAATCTGTATGGGTGGCCTTCCTGTAAACACAATGTCCCAAAGATCCATCAGGTCTCCTCTCAAACAACATCCAAGAATGGTAGTCTGCCATCTTTCTCCACTTCCATGGTGAATTTGATGGATGGGTGTCTGGAATTGATGTGGTCCAGGAAATGGTTCAATGCTGGGAGGCCACGTGGCCAAAGGACGTAGGGTGGACGTCTGGATGGCGTCTGATTCAAACTTTTCCATGAACACATTGGCTATCACTGGTGACAAGGGGGAGCCCATGGGGGTACCCTCATTCTGTTTGTAGAAGGTGCCATTCCAGGTAAAGTAAGTGTTGGTGAGGCAATGCCTAACCAGCGCAGGTACATCCGAGTTCAGTCCATGTTGGACCAAGTCTTCGATTATTGTTAAGGTGTCAGGAACTGGGACTTTGGTAAACAGAGATACCACATCAAAACTGACGAGGATATCGTCAGGAGACAGTACCATGTCCTTGACCATAGAGACCAATTAGGTTGAGTTAAGTACTGCTGACGAGGTCTTGCCAGTGAAGGGGAGCAGAGTATCTGATAGAAAACGGGCCAGTTTGTATGTAGGAGAGTTGATTATGGACACTATGGGTCGTAGTGGGGAGCCTTCTTTCTGGATCTTGGGAAGACCATAGAATCTGGGAGGTCTTGCAGCCGAGGGTTTAAGGAGGGACGTTTGGTTGGTTCGATTAGGGACGTCGAACTCGTGATGATCTTGTTGGTCTTTGTTGTTAGGCTGTTAGTCGGATCCTACTGATGATCTTGTTGGTCTTTGTTGTTAGGCTGTTAGTAGGATCCTACTAACAGCCTAACGACAAAAACCAACAAGATCGAACCAACGTCTTTTACAAGGATTCATGTCTGCATTTACCACAATACTTGCAGTGAAATGCGAACAAAACACACTATGATAATATATGCATTAAATTTTGATTTAAAGCTTTTGTGACTGCAGGGATTCATCTTCTTGAAACTGATTGGTCCACACCAAGGGACGGCTTTTTTTGAGCCTCGACCCAATTGGTGCTCGACCAGAGGACACCAATTGGTGCTCGACCAGAGGACGCCAAAAGGCATACTGCTCACACATATTATCATAGTGTGTTTTTGTTTGCATTTGACTGCAAGTATTGTGGTTAATGCAAATGTAGTGCCATGGATGGGCTGCACTTGCAGGCAACGACAGACATCCCAGAAGCGGTTGGGGGTTGTGAGGGGTCCTACGATCCCTCGCAAACACTCCCAACGGCCCGGGGGCTACGGACGTACTGGCCTGCAACCGGCAGACATGCAGACCTCGGTGAGGGACTCTGGGGTCACCCACGTCTCTCACGGAGGTCCGCACCTCGGCTGAGAAACGTATATAAGGTGGACCTCTGGAGAGGTCCTGGCAGTTGAAGACGACCAGTTGAAGCAATAAGACCTGCTAGAATAGGACCCTGGACCCCTAGCTTCGCCGTCTTTTTAAGGGCCAAAGCTCTGTGAGGCCAGTGGTGGACCCTGGGTCTCCCATAGGATATTATAGCCAGAGCACCTGGAGCGCAGCCGGGGCAGGCATGTTACGTAGGAGGCGTATAATATACCGAGTGTAAGTACTCGAGATAAACTGTACGAGGAGTTGATGTTTAGTAGTTAGGGCGCGTGTGTATAATAAAGACGTGCCCCTAACAAAGTGTCTCCGGAGAAAACACGACACAGACATGAATCCTCATAAGGTTTCAGTTTTGTTGCCAGAAAAAAGGGGAAAACTCCTATTATTAACTCCTATCATTTTTCATTGCTGGAGGGTTTGCCCCCCTCCCGACCTTAAAATACTGGCTCCGCCCCTGAGTGTGTGACAGTTTCAAGTTTGTATTTGCAGTAAAGTCTATTAATTCTATTGAGCACGGAGGTTATATCAAAACGGTAGTTTATTTTTGTTTTCCTCTGGAAGTCTTTTTAAGATTGGAGTCAGGAAGTTATCACAGCACATGTGCAGCTGAAGTCGGAACTTCATCCCAGCATTCAAGGACATCTGTGCCTGGCTTCACACCTCTTAGTTGCGATTGAACATTAATTTATGCATTTGTGCATAACACAAATAGTATTATTTTCAACATCCTTTGCTATGTCAGCTGAATTTAGCTTTCATAAATATTCCTTTTGTAGCCAGACAGCCGAAATTGTGTGCTCGGAGTTTTGGGTTAACATTCATTTTGAAGATACTAGGGCTTCCAGGCATGTTTATAACCATTTGCCCTCTCATTGTGTGCGATAACAGCCCGTGTGATAAATTTGGGACACTTTTTCACTATATCATGAATATATGCATAAGTATAGACGTGTAAGTCACGTGTGACTGTATATATGCATTGATACTGATGTGTAGATGTTGTGGATATATTTTTCTGTCTGCAGCTGTCGCTTCCTCTGCAGAATTGGTCTGATGGAGCAAAGGCACTCGGCGCGGCTCGGTGCAAAAAGGCAACAATGCGACCTGCGTGCCAACAGCACAGATCGTACTGAACATTTGACACAGCACCAGAGAACTCACACAGCAGAGAAACCCGTCAAGTGCAGTGTGTGTGGGAAAACGTTTGCACAGTCATCTACTCTTGTAAAACACCAGAGAACACACACGGGAGAGAAACCCTTCAAGTGCAGTGTGTGTGGGAAGGCATTTTCACAGTTAGCTACTCTTGTAGCACACCAGAGAACACACACGGGAGAGAAACCCTTCAAGTGCAGTGTGTGTGGGAAGGCATTTTCACAGTCAACTAATCTTGTAGCACACCAGAGAATACACACGGGAGAGAAACCCTTCAGGTGCAGTGTGTGTGGGAAGGCGTTTGCACAGTCATCTGCTCTTAACAAACACCAGACAACACACACGGGAGAGAAACCCTTCAAGTGCAGTGTGTGTGGGAAGGCGTTTTCACATTCAGCTAATCTTGTACCACACCAGAGAACACACACGGGAGAGAAACCCTTCAGCTGCACTCTGTGCGGGAAGTCGTTTGCACTTTCACCAAATCTTCAAAGACACCAGAGAACACACAAGCATCAGAAGATCCACAAGGAGTGGAGTCTGAAATCAGCTTGTGAAAGTCAAAGTGCCGCAATGAGCCCATCCCTCATCAAACAAGAACCAGAAGAAAATCCCAGCTTGGACACTTTTAAAGGTATCGAGGTGAAATGTGAAGAAGTGATGGTGAAGAGTGAAGAAGTGATTGTGAAGAGTGAAGAAGTGAAGGTAAAATGTGAAGATAAAGATACAACTCCAAAATCGGACCTTCACATCGATGGAGGCAACGTGAAGCAGGAGGAGACTTCTGACTGCGCGGCAGAGCGAGGCAACTCCCAGCAGTTTGTGGAAGTGGAGGTGTGGGTGGACTTCCTCCGAGACAATACAAAGTCAAATGGAGACCCGGGAGATGTGTAAGCTTGAGACGATGTTGCTCCAATAGATGCACCTTTTGTCACAGACCTTTAATGACAAGAAATAAGTTGAACACTCAATTCCTAGGTTCAACTTGCAGGGTAAGAGCGGCCAGTCTTTATGGACCTGTGGGTTGGGTAGATCTCTAACCAGGAGCGAGAGCCAATAAGCTCCCAAGCATTCACTTTGTTCTAATAATTCATTTACTAGCAGTCGCCGCCCGCTTCGCGGGCGGTGTGTATATGCTTGGTTGGTGGGGAGTTGAAAGTGGCTGGACACAATAGACATGTTTTGGTGATTGTTTTATGTTTTTAGATTTGAAGCTTTCGTGACTGCAAGGATTCATATTCTTAGGTTTTTTTGGTAAAGTCACGTAGGTAAAACATTAAAATTAATAAAAGTAAAATAAAATAAAAATCACGACGTTTCGGAGGCAACACAAGCTTCCGTCTTCAGGTGGAACCGTCACAGCCACGACAGCTGTATCAAGTAAATGAGAGATTGCAAGAGCTACCACTCCGTATATATAATGGTTGGAGAGGGGGGAAGGGCCAAGTTCAGCACACTTTTTATTCATATGGTAAGGTGAGGATTAAGAGGGTGAGCCTTTGTTATGGAGAGGTACGGTTTGTGACTAAGCCTGGCCTACATAACAATAGTGTGAAAAAAGAAACAACTAAACATGGTAAAACAAGCCTGGCTGTCTATCAATAACCTGTAATAGTTGTCTGTCAAATAAGACAAACATAAGATCCAAGTCCGATTCAGTACAGTGCATAAAATCCGTGATCTGATTTCATCTCTGAAGGATGTCGTTCCTGACTTACAGTATCCTGGAGTCTACAAATTGAGTTGCATTTGTGGTGATTGATACATTGGAGAAACGAAACGTCATGTTTCTGATCGTGTCCGCGAGCACAAGTCAGATCTGAAACACGGCAGAACTGATTCTTCGGCCGATGCCGATCATTGCTACAACTCTGTGGGCTCTCATGAAATTGTCTTTTCCGAGACCAAGGTTCTCGGCAAACCTCCTGGCTACCATCAAAAGTTTGTACACGAAGCCATACAAATATACAAACACAGACATAATTTCAACCATGATGATGGTTACAAACCGAGTAATCATTGGAAAGATGTGATTAACCATGCAAAAAAGATTTAACTACACTTATTTGGCCAATCTTATTTGACAGACAACTATTACAGGTTATTGATAGACAGCCAGGCTTGTTTTACCATGTTTAGTTGTTTCTTTTTTCACACTATTGTTATGTAGGCCAGGCTTAGTCACAAACCGTACCTCTCCATAACAAAGGCTCACCCTCTTAAGCCTCACCTTACCATATGAATAAAAAGTGTGCCGTACTTGGCCCTTCCCCCCTCTCCAACCATTATATATACGGAGTGGTAGCTCTTGCAATCTCTCATTTACTTGATACAGCTGTCGTGGCTGTGATGGTTCCACCTGAAGACGGAAGCTTGTGTTGCCTCCGAAACGTCGTGATTTTTATTTTATTTTACTTTTATTAATTTTAATGTTTTACCTACGTGACTTTACCGAAAAAACCTAAGAATATGTTTTATGTTTATTTTTGTGAGGTTATATGCATTTTTATGAGACGCTCAATTGACAATATTAAAGAATGCAACTTATTCAAATATAGAATGCAACTTATTGAAATATCTGGCGATACACGATATTCTTCGTGTACACTCCGTCTTCCTCCTCGTCGTCAGGTCCCTCAATAAGCGCCTTGATGTTGGATCTTGCCGTGACTCGCGATGGTGCCACGTACAGTTGGCCGTGCGAGAAGCATGGCGTTGGTAGATATAATCCCAGGTTGTGAACAGTTTGCCCTTGCGCCTTGTTGATGGTCATCGCGAAGGCTGGGACAATGGGGAACTGTTTGCGCCGAAGTCGAAATGGGAAGTCCTTCGTGTCCAATTCGCGGCGGATATGGTTGTTCTCAAGCAGCGAGTCCAAGACCAAGTGTGGGTACTCGGAAAGCTGCGGGAGGTCGTCAAAGTCCGACAGAGCCATACCACCTGCCGTAATGAACTCGTAGAGGCTGTGAAGGGTCTTGAACTTTACCATTTGTTATTTGTTGGTCCGCTCGCGGTACTGGTACTCGTAATCACGAGCCAATTTGTCGTAGAATTTCTCCCAGAGATCCTTCGTATCTGCTGGCATGGAATACAGCAGAATCGTAGCGAAGAGTTGACGAAGCTGGTGCGGCATCTGAAAGAGCGAGGCTTCTTCCAGACACGCAACCCATTCGCGATCGCTCTCAAGGTAGCCTGCTCGCATGGCTGCTTCCTTGAACGTCGGGCATAGTTCACCGCGAATGGTGCGCAGGTCTTTGAAAGACTCCGGGCCAGGTATGTGGCACAACAGCACACGCAAGTAGAAACGCTCGTGATCACGCGGAGAGCAATGCACCATCCTCCCAATGGTGCGTCGCTGGTTTTTGTATCTGATCCATTGCTTGTCCTTGCTGTCCCAGCGAAACAGCGTCGGTATGTCTTGGTACAACATGTCCTTCGCTTCGGCGTTGCTTTTGGCAAATTCAAAGAACCTCGTGAGCTTCGTATGGCGAGCATTATCCAAGACTTGCTGTGGATCAGCGGTTCCAGCGTAAGTTACGAACTGGCTGTTGGGAAGGTGGATGCCGAGCGTGACAACCGTGTGCGTCTTGCCTTGAATTGGGTACTCGAGTAAACGCTGGCAAGCCTCTACTGGTGAAATGTAGCGTGCCTTTACGTACCGGATGATCTCATTCGGCTCACGTCGAGGGTGTTCAGATTCCCTCACGTCATCTCCAACTGTCCGCGCACTGATTTCCGTCATATCAGCGCCTTTGTAGACGTACTTGTACAGGTACTTGATCGCCGTGATGCTCGAGCACACCTCAACGTTGATGTGGCAATCGTATTTCTGAGAGAAGAATGGATTGTACGCAACAACCCATTGATTGACTGTCGCATTGTCATATTTCTTGAACTTGAACTTGAGCACGCCGTCCGTTCGCAGGCGTCTTCTGTAGACAGGAAACCCATTCTGGTTGGTTTGTGTCACCTCGGACAGTGCCTTCGGGAAACCTTTGGTGCACTCGCCGTCCTTCATACACAGAGAGCTGGGGTTTAGGGCTCCACACGGCCCGTGCATCATGCTGGTCAAAACTGTGTTGTACAGATCACTGTTCTTCACGGCATCTGGAAGTTCCGCGGACACAAACTTGTCAAAGTCATGGCGAGTCCTGGGTTTGTCTTCATGGGCGAGAAGAATGAGTATGTGAGCGGTAAGGCAGTCGACGCTTCTGAAACTCGAGCACATAGATTCGCGCGATTTGCTGCCCAAACACCCCATCATCGAGATACTTCAACACTGCTTTGAGCTTCTGTTGCCACACACGTGCGACAATATCTGGCCTATCTTGAGCAGTTTGGTGTGGTCCGTTTCTGTCTATCGTCTTTGTGATTTCATCCCATTGAGGGTTGCACGTAACAGTCATGAACAAATCCGGCTTTCCAAACTCGCGCACCATTGCCATGGAGTCCTGATACTGCGAGTACATGTATCTCTCACCACCCGTGAACGACGCTGGAAGTACGACGCGCTTTCCGACTTGATCAAGGAAGTGACGGCGGCGGCTTGGCTTTGGATGCACTAACATGCCTGTGTCACGATCGTATTCCGACACTAAGCCTTCCTTTTCACCTAATGCAACCACGCCCTCATACAGGTACGCATCCAGAACTCCCTTGTAAAGATCCGCTCGAAGTGTCTTCTGGTTTGCCGCGACCCAGCGCAGACTCTCCTGTTCGCACTTGGCACGTTGGTCAACCACCCACTGCTGGAACAGTCGCCGGCCTTGGTGGAGAACCGACTGGTCGTTTTCCTTCTGGTTGAGTCGGTACGCAACATGTTCGCGAAGTGCCATTCGCGTCTTGTTCCGATACGTAGCGCCGTTCGTGTACTCATCCGTGTACGTCCAACCCAGTTCCCCGAGAGGGAGCAAGAGAGGACATTGAAGTGAATCGTAGATCGAATGGGTTTCGAACAGTCGCAAAAGCCCAACCTGACCGTGGGAAGAGAAGCAAGTCTCGGTTGTTCGCCGCGTTGCCGTCATCAACCAACACAGCAGCAACCTCCGTGGCCGTGGGGAGATTGTGCATGCGAGGTCCCACATAGTTGTTGGCACGCAGGCGAAACACGATGTTGACGGGGTTGTCGCCGGCTTCGATCATGCTTCTCATCCGCTGACCCATCGTAAGGAACTCGCGCGCAAACGGGTTGCACGCCTCCATCATGTGCTCCAAGTCCAACAGCGCGACTCTGTTCAGGCCGCTAAAAATCCCCTGTCGGCGAGCCACTCGTGCTTCCATATCTGGATCGTACACGTAAATCTGCGCAAACTTGGGCTTCGTTGTCTGACCGGCCTGATCCGTATATGGTAACAAAGATCCCAAGAAATGGGCCATCGCTCCTTGGATACGGTATGTATACACGCCTCTCTGCCCTTGGACACTTTGATCTTCTGCTACTGGGTCGAAGCGGCGATTGCTGAAAGAAGCACCAAGCGACGTAAATTCAAACACTTGATTGTACATGCGTATCTGCTTCCAAAACTCTTCATCTTGGTACCACTTGCGTAGAATGGCCGGTGCAGGCTGGAGTGGCGGAAGAGCGACCTTGCCATCAATGCAGCCTGCGTACACAAACGCGACACGTTAGACAGAAAGCCTATGTAAACCGCGTTGCCTCTCAGTCCGTGACATCTGAA